GAGGGAAAAGAGGATCTTCCGCATTTACTCAAATCTAAGACAACCCTGAATTTAAGACAGCACCCCCCCCCAATAATTAGATTCTATATGTGGAAAATGTATAAAATTGTTATTATTTTCCATGTGTAGAATCTAATTATTGGAGGGTCATTTTAAATTTCCCCTCAGGCTGCTGCAGCTGGGAAAGCAGTGGCAGGGGATGGTGGGGGGAGTGGGGCAGGCAGTGGGGGAGGCAGTTGGAGTGGGGGCAGATGGGGGAATCAAGCAGCTTAACCTCTGCCTTTCCACACCTTTCTCCCTGTGCATCCACACCTGCAGCCTTGAGTTCCCCCTTCCCCTGTTTCTTTTTCTCCCCCCACTTCCTAACGCTGGGTAGGGGCTGGAGCCAGAGCCACAGCAACTGTGCTCCCACCTCATTCTTTAATCCAAGATGAGGGGCCTTCCCCCCATGTTAAATAGGGGGAAAAATCCTTGTTTTGGATTTGAATAAATATGGTACCCTTGAAACTGCCTTTTCTCTAAGATGGATGGTGGCTTGATAACAGCAATAGGTGTAGTAGAAATCTTACGGGTGCATTAGAAATCCTTAGTTGTTATCTTCTCAGTACTATCCAACTTATTTTGTTGGCAATGCAGTATTCTGTTCTGTGGCATATATCCTGTAGGGTTGGGAAAGACAACCAGTTTTCTACTCAGCAGACTGTGGATCTCTGTCACATCATTAAGATTAAATACTTAGTTCGCAGAAAGAAAAAGAGATTGACAAGCAATTTATTCTAGTGACATGAGCATTCATGCAAGGGAAAGTATGCTTGCTTTTCTCCTGGCAGCTGAAAGGCTCTGTGGTAGAGAGAGAATTACAAGTCTAGGGGATAAAGGGGATGCATGGAGCACAGATAGTAACTGCTCTTAATCTGGTTTGTATGGTATAAGCTGGTGAATCATTGTGTGGTGAGGCCCCTAGACACAATTTACAGCACTTTCTTTCATAGACTTGTTTGTTACACAGCCATGACATATACAAGGCATTTGCTTTTCCCATCTGCTTGACAGGGACAAACTGGCAAATTTTTAGCTGGAGGGAAAACAAATACCTTAGTAGGGCTGTGCAAAACAGCATCATTTTGTTTTGACTTCTGCTTTGCTGTTTCAAAGGGACAGTGTTTCATTTTGTCATTTTGTTTCACTGTTTCGAAGCACTGTTCCGTTTCACTTCGTTGAAACTGTTTCACTCTTTTGACGCATTTCAACATTTCGCCCATGGGCTATAATGGGAAATCATGAAAATGCCTATAACCTTGTTATTTCTTGCCTGATTTGGATGAAAATTACAGGGATGGTAGCTCCTCTGGAGGGCATGAAGTCTGCCAAGTTTCAAGGAGATAGGTGCAGGGGTTTTTGGGAAACTGCACCTCAAACTGCAAAAAGCAAAACTCGTGTCACTTATCGGTAGTGGCAGCCTTCTGTCATCCCACACAGTTGTGGGGGTCTACACCCCTGGGAGGACTGTGGGGTTGTGCTGGACTCCTCCCAGGAGTGCGGGCCCCTGGATCTGCACTTGGGATGACAGGAGGCTGCCACTGCTGCCTGGGACCAGCACTGGGCACAGGGTGTGCCCAGTACCTGGAAGACTGATGCTGCCACTAGCCCCAGGCAGCAGCACTAGCCTCCTGTCATCCTGCACGCAGGTCTGGGGGCCTGTGCCGCTGGGAGGAGCCTGGCAGTACTAGGAGGGCAGGTTGAGCTCTGTGGGGCTGGCAGGGCTGATTGGAGTACAGCCCTGGCTCTCCCTGCCTCCTGCCACTGGGTTGCACTCCGAGCAGCTCTGCCAGCCCCGTGGAGCTCAGCCCAGCCAAAGGTGGTGGGGGAGAGCCAGGGCTGTGCTCCGAGCAGCTCTGCCAGCCCCATGGAGCTCAGCCCAGCAGTGGGAGGTGGAGTGCAGCCCTTGCTCCCCCACCTCCCACCACTAGGCTGCACTCCGAGTGGCTCTGCCAGCCCTACGGAGCTGAGCCTGGCGGCGGGAGGCAGGGGAGAGCTACTGGCCAGGGCTGAGCTCTGAGCCACTCCGCCACTGGCTCTCCCTCCACTTCCAGTTGCAGGCTGAGCTCCATGGGGCTGGTGGAGCTGCTCAGAGCACAGCCCTGGTGAGTACAGCCTGGCAGCTGGAGGCTCTGCAGCCCCATGGAGCTGGCGGCGGGAGGCAGTGGGAGGTGGCAGACAGCCAGCGGTGGAGCCACTTGAAGCGCAGCTCTGGCTCTGAGTGCAGCCTTGGCCAGTGGCTCTCCTCTGCCTCTCACCGCCAGGCTCAGCTCTGTGGGGCTGTGGAGCCTCCAACTGCTGAGCTGTGCTTGCCAGGGCTGCATTCCAAGCAGCTCTGCCAGCCTCAAGGAGCGCAACCCAGTGGTGGTAGGTGGTGGGAAAGCCAGTGGTGGAGCCGCTTGGAGCACAGCCCTGGTGAGCACAGCCCGGCGGCGGGAGGCTCCACAGCCCCATGGAGCTGAGCCCGGCAGTAGGAGGCGGGGGAGAGCCATTGGCCAGGGCTGCACTTGGAGCGGCTCTGCCACTGGCTCTCCTGCCTCCTCCTGCTACCAGGCTGAGCTCCGTGGGGCTGGTGGAGCTGTTTGGAGCACAGCCCTGGTCTGTCCTTGCCTCCTGACACAGGGCTGCTTCGAAACTTGAAACATTTCAAAACTTTTGAAATGTTTCAAGTGCCCTCATCTAATTTTAAAGCTGTTTTGAAACCTTTTGTTTCATTTTGAGTTCACTGTTTCGAGCTTAAAATGCATTGAACAGCTTCAAAATGAAACACTCGTTGAAATTTTGCACAGTCCTAGACATTAGGGCCTCATCAAGCTGTGGTAGAAGGATGTCTCTTACCCAGGTCTCATAGACTCATATGCATGGGACCAGCCTTGAGGAAAATGTCCTCATTTCTCTGGCCCCCTTTCCTTCCCCACTCCTCCCACCAAAATGTGCACTCATACACTATTTGAGTTGGTCTAATAAAAGATAGTGGATTTACTCAAAGAACCTTGTCTGCACTCATACATATACATGCAGGCCCTGTCTTCCACTGCTTTTGGGGTGGCTGTGTGAAAGGGGAAAAAATTGGTTTTGCTTTGAAAAAACAACATGGTCTGGTATTGCCACCTTGTGCTGTAATGAGAAATTCAAGTTTCATGTAACTGCTAAGAGAGAAAATACAATGGTGGGGCCCATGGAGATAGATGCCATACACACCCTGTTGACTTCGGCAGTTACAAGAGCAGCAGTGTGGTTGCACAGAGCTCAATGCAAGTTAGGTGCCCAGATCCCCAGGTTTGTTGGTGCTTATGTGATGATTTCAGTATTATCTCTTAACATTATATACAGAATATTAGGTGTAGTTGGATATGTTTCATAAGCACTGAAAGAATCTTATAAATTGATGATACAAAAATGCATGCCCCTTCAAAGTATATAACATTTGTTTCTGTTTTCAGTTGTACTGTATTTGGTAAGGATCCAGTGTTGCCTGTATTCTTGGAGTGCGAGGGAAGGACTTTTTCCCTCTTTGGACAGACATTACTGCAAAAAATGCTCGTGGCTACCTTACTATAAAAGAATAATGTCTTTCTCATTTTTTGTCAGCTGTATTGCTAATAATACAATAATACATCATGAAAGCTGATGAGCTGTCAAAAGAAAAAGCAGAAATATGAGGTGTATGGGTTTTTTTCAGCTAAAATGGAGGAGTGTGAAGTTGGTGTCTCTACTATATTACTACTGCTGTGCATTTTTTTTCAGATTCACATTAAAAAATTCTGCTGGTAGAAAAATTTGGCTGGAGTAACATGGGATAGCATTACTTATTCAATCTGTTCCCTCGGTCGCTTTATCACAGGGACCATCGTGAATTTTTCTCCCTCAAACTCCATTTGATGGCAGGGTCAGAGGTGTTCGAGTCAGGGGTGTCTACTGTCATCCTACAGTCTTGCTTGTCCTTTCAACACCTTTGAAGTCCAGATTTTGCTTACTTGCAGAATTCTTGCATTGTTTCCTATGGGGGTAGAGGGTAAGGTTTCCTCATTTAAGGCAAATTTATAATTACCAGTAGTTTTATTTTTAATATAACTACCAAGTACTAATTTTAAGAATATGCAGATTTCAGCATTTCTGGTTTTTTGCATTGCTTGGTTTCTGAGCACTGGTTTCTCAAATTTTTATTTTTCAATAGTTTTTTAAAAATTTGATACTAAAGAGCTATACAAGCCAAAATAGGAAGTTTTGGCTATTTTTCCAGAGGGATATCAGAAGTGTAATCTGCAAGAGGTTAGTGAGGCTGATGTTCCAGTGTCCCTTCCTTTGTCCTTTATGAATTCCAAATGTTAATCCCCACAATATCCATTTCCATGGCAGCTGTAGGATGGGGGATGAACAGAGTACTCTGTGCACACAGGTGGTTTTTTTGTTTGTTTTTTTTAAACCCACCACCTTAGTAGAGAGGAGGCTGGGATAGAAGGGGAACATGTAACACTTAGCAGTGACACTACAATGTTGGTATCAAACCTGGAATATGTGAAATATATGTACTGATGTGACAAGAAATATTACTCGTTTGGAAGAAGCCCACAGCTTTTCTCTTTGTAAAGAATTTGGTTTCCATAGGAAAAACAGCATTTATATCTCCGATGCAAGGCCAATTTGCTCCTCATTCTTTCGCCTCAAAGCACCTGTTCTTTGCTCAGAAGTTGTTGAATACCACACTCTGTAGAACAGTTTTCTTATTCCTTAGAACTTGTAAGTTGCCTACTTTATTTTTCCATACAGTACAAAGTGCATTCTGAATACTGTGTATTGGGATCTTGTTCTACTTCATTTTGGCCAACCTCAATTTGTTGCTGGTGGGGTTAAAGATGTGATTGTCTCTGTCTATCCCTATCTTGTAATAAATGTATTGTTTTGATTCTGTTTGTCAAACACAGTTGGTTTAAAGAATTTTTCATTTTGTTTTGACACAGGTTCAACATAATGCAGATAAATCCACTAGACTAAAACTAGCAGATTTTGGCCTTGCAAAGCTGGTTACGAAACCCATATTTACTGTTTGTGGAACTCCAACATATGTTGCACCTGAAATACTTGCTGAAAAGGGTGAATATAGATTTTTAAGACTGTATTTTTCATTATGAAAATATTTGTGTACTTTGTCACTGATATCTAATTAATCTTCATATTATTAATATTTTAATACTTAACAGTGTATATTACATTCAGCTAGATAAGAAACAAAATAGCTCAGTAATTCTTGTTGAAATCGTGCCAGTGAAGAATTGTCTCTTTGTTTTGCCCTGAATGTTCTTGCTTTCCTCCTCTCTACATCAAGGTTATAATCCAAAGAACCTTAAAGCCCCATCACTGCAAAAGGTCACGGACCTCAGAGATCACCTATGTAACAATTTCAAAATATCACAGGGGACAAAGCTAGTTTTTCTTGGAGAATGTAGTATGGAATAAAATATTTCTTACAAAGTAAATATTTCTTCTCTAAAGGTTAGTTTTGGTAAAAAAGATATTTAACCTTTGATATGTATTTCCCCTAGGTTATGGCCTGGAAGTAGACCTGTGGGCTACTGGAGTGATACTCTACATACTGCTATGTGGCTTCCCCCCTTTCCGCAGCCAAGAGCGAGACCAAGAAGAGCTATTTCAAATAATACAGCTGGGTCACTATGAATTCCTTTCACCGTACTGGGATAATATTTCTGGTGGTAAGATTCATCATGTGTGCCATCCCCAAGGAGGTAATAGCTTCTATCACAGCTCAGATAAACAGCTGTGTCTATAAAGATCAGACCTCATTAAGAGCAAATATTTTCCTGCATCAGGTTGCAACTATCTTTACAAATAAGGCACTAAAATGATTATTTCTTGGTGATACTAAGAACCAGGGACTAGACTCATCATGGGGCTGCTTGCATTTCTCATTTAGTTGCTGTCTAAATTTCATAGACTTCTAGGGTCGGAGGGACCTATTAGATCGTTGAGTCTGACCCCCTGCTCCGGGCAGGAGGTGTGCTAGGGTCAAGTAACACTAGCCAGGTGCTTGTCTAATCTCCTTTTGAACACCTCCAAAGTAGGGGAAAGTACCATCTCCCTTGGAAGTCCATTCCATACTTTGGCAACCCTCATCATAAATAATTTCTTCTCATGTCCAAATCTACTCTCCTTCATTTTATGGCCATTGTTTCTAATAACCCTGAGGGGCACCCTGGTAAACAAAGTATCCCCTATTCCATGCTGATCCTTTCTGATGAGTTTGTAGACAGTCACAAGATCACCTCTCAGCCTTCTCTTGTGGAGGCTGAAGAGATTCATGTCCCTCAATCTGTCTTCAAGGGGTTGGCAACATCATTATCATTCATATTTTTACTATTATTATTTAGATTTATACATGGACCATGGGCAAGATCTGGCCTTTAGAATCCAGTCCATGATGCCAGAGCTGGGCTGAGCAGCAGGGAGCTACACCTGCACTGCAGCTGGGGAGTGGGGGAAGCAGGGCAGTAAAAGCTGTGGAGGTGGCTGGGTCAGAGCATCAAGTCATCTTGTACCTAACCTGGATTGTTCCGGTCCTCAGCTCTGAAACATTGCTGGCCACTGGTCTAAAGTACCCCTTTTGATGTTAGGTGTTATTCATTCCTGTTTTCCAGGTGGCAGGCACCAACCACCCGGTTCCCACTAGCCAGAGCACGTACTATGATTGTATGGGGTTCTCAAAATTAAATTTTCTATCTACCTTTCCTGCTTGCTTGGAAAAACTGCGCTTTTGTTTTTGCCTCATGGCATCTCACGGAGGAGGAGATGTCACCAAAGGACTAACAGTTTAATTTTAGTCACTGGAATTACTCTGTGATAGCTATGGTGATTACAGGGTTCAGTAAGTACAGGCATAAAAGCATGAGAAGAACTAAACAACAAACTTTAAATGTGGAACTGTAAGCAACCTCTGCAGAGTCTTGGTCTATATATCACTAACTAGCTAGCTAAGGAACCATCTCCCAGTTCTCTCTGTCTGCTGTTAGAGAGCCTCTTTTAGTCATAACTTCTGTCACTACAATAGCCATGCAGATTGTTGTTAGCTCTGATGGGACACGAAGACCTCACAGTGATATACTTTTTCCCTTCTCTCCTTTTCTTTTTGCATAAAATAGCAGCCAAAGATCTGATAAGCAGGCTGCTGGTAGTGGATCCCCAGAAGCGCTACACAGCTCAGCAAGTTCTTCAGCATCCCTGGATCAGAACAGCTGGAAAAACCAACAGTAGGAACCTGCAGAGGGAAGTGACAATTAATATTGAGCGCCATTTTCGGAGCCAGCGCAGGAAGGAAGTTGCAAATGAGGACACATGAAGTTCCTTCATGTCAAGCTAGCCTTCTCTCTTCTGTGTCTCTCCCTTTTTTTTTCTTTTCTAAATGAGTTGGGCCCAGGGTTTGTTGTTGGGCATTGTTGCTTGCCCTTTTTCTAAGATTTTGAGAATCTGGAAAAGTACAGGATGGTGAGGCCAATCTCCACTGATGTTACTGCGAGTTGACTTCAAGTGAGCATTGGCTTGGTCACCCAGTGTGTCCTTTTTAATACTGAATTGGGTCTATGTTTAACTACACAGTTCTTTTTTGTAGATTAAGATGCGTTTCTGCAGCTAACATTAGTGATCATTTGGGGAGATTTTCTATCCTTATTTTGTATGGCAGCTGCCAGAAGCTTTGTGTTCCTGGAGCCTTGTTTAATGATCAGATGTACACCCCCTGCACAAACTTCTGCACCATGCCTTTACACAAAGTACTGTTAGCAATAGGAAGTATGAAAAAACAACTAAACAAAAGTATCCTTTAGCTAAAGGACACATTAGACATGATACCGAATACTTTGATTCAATGTAAATAGTGGTGAGCTAATCCAGGTACGGAAAAACTTGAAGCCGTCTTCTTTCAGTTGTGTGTTGTATTAATATAAGGGTTGATGCAAAACTATGTGAAAACTTAAGTATGGAGGAGGGAATAAAAAGTGTTTCAGCCTTATGTACAGATTTAAATATTTTGCAGTACCTTTTGGGAAACATCCTCTGTTAGTCATTCTTGGAGACTGGGCAAAAGACCAGACCATCAATCTATTATGGCTACAATAACTTATTTGTTTCTATGCTGATTCATTTTTAGGGCAAGGTATAAGGCCTTGCTGTGTGATGCTGAGGAGGACCTTTCTTCACATTCTGGGAACAAATCTGGCAGTTTCTGAGGGAATTCTGGCTTCTTTTTATACAGGAGTATATCAGTCTTTTCAAGATTAAATTTCACAGATTCACATTGATGGATCTTGATTCTCACGTACTGAAGGAGGCAGAGTCATGGAACTCCCTTTGTGACCTGCTCTTGTTAGCACCCATGCTTCAGTTTCTCTTCCCTTAACTTGGTGGCTGCTTAATTGCCTTTCTGCTTTGCTGGTGTCTTGTGCTAACTTTTTCCTTCTGGTGCCTTCCCTGGTGTCTTTTCCTCTATTTCTCTCTCCTTAGGGTTTCACTTGGAAGGGCTAGAAGTATGACTAATGAAATGAAATTAGACAAAACACTTAACTCAGGAAAAATATTTAGATTATTCTAAGGAAAAGTCTGTCAAGGGAAGTCATAGAAGTTTCATTGCTCAAGTTATTTAACACTGGACTCGGTAAAATAAAAAAATAAAGAAAAAATAAGGAAAATAATGTGGTCCTTGTATGCGATATACCTTAATACATCTTTTGTATTTCATGCTTATTTATTATCAACCCAAAAACTAAAAAGGATGTTAATTGGTGGTTTACAGTAAACTGTCCAACAGCTCAATAGTTGAACAACAGCTGACATTTTAAACGTTATAAGCATTGAGTTAAAAACTCATGGAAACGAATAGGTCAGTTCACATTGCCAAACTTATCATTGCAGTCTCTCTCTCTGTAGATACAGAAAGAGAATGCCATACCACTTCATAATCAGAAACACACTTTTGTAATCATAAAGGTTAGAATAATTTTAAAGCTGAAAGCTAAAACTGTGCAAATGAGTAAAATATGACAGTTGAAATCTGCTTCATATCACTGAGTGGGAAATTGCACCCTCAGTGAAAAAGTTGAACTAGATTATGTTCAATGCATACTGAATTGAATTCCACAGCAGATGTTAACTACTAATCAAACAAAACTCATCAACTTTTAAATTATTCCAAGAATTATATTTACATGATATACCATACTTTTGTCTTTAGGCTCTGGTTAAGTAAAGCCTTCCTCTTCAGGAGAGAAGTAAAGCATATGCTCTTGTGCTTTCCTGGACAGAGATGGATTTCACCATGTGCTTAAGTGCATTCCTGAGTCAGGGCCTTAAAGAGAACCAGTATTAAAAACCTGCTTCTGGTAATTATGTCACAGTCATACATTCCCCACAGCAAACCTTTATTAATTCTATCACTGACATGAAACTATGGAAAAACATCTTGTGACAGACAAGATCAAATATTACACTTCTTTCTAAATTAAAAATAAAATTTGAAGTGACAAAAGCATGTTGCAGAGACAGTGAATATTTCGGCATTTGCAGGTCACCTTTAAGAGCACAGTGTGTTGCTCCTTTCATGGTAAATAGGAGACAGGGCACACCTGTAAAGAATATAAAAGGGATTCTTTATTTTGGGGTCTTGTTCTCTTCGGCTTTCTAGATACCTGATGACTAGGCACAGCCTTGTGCTACCATACACAATCTCTTAAGTCTCAGCCCCAGACTAAGGAGGGGAACTGTAAGTATGCTTGGAGGCAGCATAGAGCTGTTGATCTTGCATAAAGCTGAGGCACTCCAATCTTTAGCCTCAGGTAAGAGATACAAAGAGCTTCTCAATATTCCTCCTCAGGGATTTTGTATTTTTTTCACTCCCCTTTCAGTTGTTCCCTTCTTTTTATTTTCCTTCTGCTCTGCTCTTCCCTTGGCTCCCTGACCAAGGGGTAGGATCTAGAGCCACCCAGTCCACAGTACTTGAAGCTAGCACTTATCAGCGACTGCTGGCAGGTGCACCTGGCTCAGCCATGAGAGCTCAGGCAAAGCAATCTGGCAAAGGGAGGTGGTTCTGAAAGCCCCATCCTGCCTCAAGGACTTCATAGAATCATAGAAAATTAGGGTTGGCAGGGACCTAAGGAGGTGTAGTCCAACCCTCTGCTCCATCCTCATTAAAAAATTGGGCGACTGTGGCATTGATACCTACACAATCAGATGGATTGCAGATTGGCTGAAGGGTTGTACTCAGAGGGTGGTGGTGGACAGGTCACGTTCGACCTGGGGAGAAGTGGGCAGCGGAGTCCCCCAGGGCTCAGTCCTTGGGCCCGTGCTGTTCAATTTCTTTATCAGCGATTTGGATGACAGGGTGAAAAGCAACCTGTTTAAATTCGCCGATGATATGAAAATTTGGGGTGAGGTGAGCACACTATTAGGGAGGGAAAGACTGCAGCAAGACCTGGACAGGTTACAGGGATGGGCTAGCAAAAACAGGATGCGCTTCAATACTGACAAGTGCAGGGTGCTGCACTTCGGCAGTAGTAACCAGCAGCACACTTATAAGATGGGAAACTCCCTTCTTGAGAGCACGGAGGCAGAAAGGGATCTTGGAGTCATTATTGACTCCAAGATGAACATGGGCCGACAATGCGAGGTTACGGTTGGCAGGGCTAACTGGACGTTGTGCATCCACAGGTGCATCTCAAGTAGGGCCAAGGAAGTGATCCTCCCCCCCTGGGCAACACTGGTCAGGCCACAGCTGGAGTACTGCGTCCAGTTCTGTGCGCCCCACTTCAGGAGGGATGTGGACGATATTGAGAGGGTCCAGAGGAGGGCCACCCGCATGATTCAGGGACAACAGGGCAGACCTTACAATGAGAGACTGCGGGACCTGAACCTGTTCAGCCTTCACAAGAGAAGGCTGAGGGGGGACCTGGTGACCGTCTATAAACTCACTAGGGGGGACCAGAAGGGTTT